GCAGAAACACAGAAAATTCAGGGTTTCGGGTCTAAGGGTTCAGGCTTCCTAGACCCTAAACCCCTACACCCCTAAGCCCTAAACCCTAAACCCTAAACCACTACACCCTAAACCCGAAATCCTAAACCCGAAACTCCTAAACCCTAAACACGAAACCCCTAAATCCGAAACCCCTCAAACCTAAACCCTAAACCCCTAAACCCGAAACCCGAAACCCCGAAACCCTAAACCCGAAACCCGAAACCCTAAACCCGAAACCCCTAAACCCGAAACCCCTTCACCCTAAACCCAAAGCCCCTAAAAACCTAAACCTTAAACACGAAACCCCTAAACCCTAAAAACCTAAACCCTAAACCCGAAACCCCTAAAACCCAAACCCCTAAACCCTAAACACGAAACCCCTAAACCCTAAACCCCTAAACCCTAAACCCGAACCTCCAAACCCCAAACCCTAAACCCCTATAAACCCTAAACCCGAAACCCCTAAACGTCCAGGGCCCAGCTTCCGTGAGAACTTGACGGCCTCCTGCAGCACAGAGCCTTTCATCGGCACCACGGCGATCGCCTTCGTAAGGTCGATAAGGAGAAGTGTGCGGCTTCGGGTTTAGGGCTTTAGGGGTTGAGGGGTTTAGGGTTTAGGGTTTAGGGCTTCGGGTTTAAGGTTTCGGGTTTGGGTGGTTTAGGGTTTCGGGCTTAGGGGTTGGAGGGGAGGGTTTTGGTTGAAGGGTTTGGAGTTTAGGGGCTTAGGGGCTTAGGGCTTAGAGTTTTCAGAGTTTAGGGCTTTGGGATTTTGGCTTTAGGGTTTGGCAACTTAGGGCCTTGGGGTTTGGGGATTTGGGTTTGGGGCCCGTTTGGGGCTTCGGGTTTGAGGTCTGGGGACCTGCACGCGTAGACTGGGTGTTGGGCTAAGGTATAGGGTTTAGGGTTTAGGGTTTAGGGTTTAGGGTTTAGGGTTTAGGGTTTAGGGTGTTTATGACTTGCTTTCTGTGTTACGAGCTATTTTCTCGACACTAGCCTTGAAATCGAAACGTTTGATGGGCACAGCACGATTAAAGACATGTCCCGCACAACGGAAGGTTGAATCCTAGAAACAGAAACGACTGAGCAACGCGGGAAGCTAATTTACTTCTTGCTTCCATAAACACAGCTACGTCGCCAAAGAAACCCTAAACCCCAAAACCCTAAACCCCAAACCCTAAACCCTAAACCCTGAGCCCTAAACCCCGAACCCCGAACCCTAGACCCTAAACCCCTAAAC